GCTCTCACAATTCTTCGATGGCTGTGTCAAAAATGATTACTCAAAATACAATACGCTCTTTTAAATTTTAATCATGAGGTTTTTATACTTTTATTGATCTTTTTAATCAATATAATATTATCAATCATATTAAATCAATTACGTTAATTCCTTCTACTTTGTTTGGAATTAAATTTATCAATTATTTTAACTATATTTCCTTAATCAATTACAAGTTTCTTTTAATTTTTTGAACATTCAATACCAGTGAGTTTTAAGATCCCAGGATTGAAGATCCAGCCAACTTCATATAAAGAAGAAGTCCATCTAACTAAGAGCGTTATCAAGAAAACACATGAGATGAGTGATGAACTGTTGAGAGTGAATCAGTTAGTCAAGGGATTTAACGTTAATAGGAGTAATGCTTGGATATATCTAAGATCAAACTTTGGTGAGAAGATCACTCACAATGATTTGATTCGCATTGCAAAAATTGTTAGCTGCTATACCGGTATCAAAATTGGTCGCGATGCCAAAAGAAGGAAAGTTGTTCTATTAAACTGGTTTGATGAGAATTGGATAGCAATCAAGCCCGTGCTTTCCATGGTTACAATTTAACATCCATGAGTCCAGGACTTTAATAATGTATTGAAATTTGGTCTAATTCCTGTTTATTTAATTTTGCACACTCCTCTTTTTCTAATTTTGTTTCTTCTTGTTCTTTATAAAAAAAATGATATTATAAAAGTTACAACCCTTTTTCGTATATATAAGATTTATCCATGAGGAATTGAAATATGCGGAAAAAACCAAAATCAATAAAAAATTTGAATTATAAAAAAACAATGGTAATGCAACATTGTGTTATTAATGAACATGACCATTCTATGGAAACACGATGCTAATTAATAAAAATTAATTATTCTTATCCAATAACATTGAAAAGAGAAAAAATATTTTGCCTACGACCGGAGTTGAACCGGCGACCTTGCGCTTACAAGGCGCACGCAATAACCACTATGCTACGCAGGCTTTACATTTATTTGAAATTTTTAATACTAAAGAACTTTATTCAGATTTAAATTTTTTTCTCCATTCAACTAATAAATTAAAAAATAGAAACGTTTCATCGTCATGAATATTTAAGATTCTACCCAACTAAAAATGATAATGGAACTGGATTGCTATACTATCTTCACACGAGATTCCCCTCAGATTTAATCCTTGAACCAAGTTCTACTCAATCTGATTTTCCTCCAGAAAGTATTTTTATTCAAAACAAATACTGGAGATCAAATGATGTTGCTAGATCTAACTTTTCTTTTGGTTTCCAACGATTTCTTTTTCGAATAGATTCATTTTCTTCTGAATCATGTCGGTATCGTGAATGTTTTAAAGATCTGGATATATATGGTTCTAATAAAAATCAAAATTTAGAGCAGATCTGCTCATTTCGAGGTTCTTATGATATATTTTATCAAAAGATTTCAAATATTCAGTGCAAATCAGATAAATTTTACGATAAAATAACTTTAATTAGCCCATCTATTAATAGCAATAATGAAAATAAATTTACATTTTATTCTTTCGAAATATTTGGCGATTTATATGATATAAATGCATCGAGAATCATTTGCTCGCAAAAGAATTGTATATATACATATGATTTCGATATTTTGATTTATTTTTGTATTGTAAATCCAAAATAAAGTTTAAATTTCTTTATGTTTTTATCATCATTCTATATGAATTCATTATTAATCATTCTATATGCATGATTCGTTTCATTTCTGAAAACAATTCATAATTAATGAATTAATGTGTCCATCATATTTTAAAAATCTGGAAAACGTCCCTGTGAAATAAAAATCATATAATCCTCAAATATTATTCCAAGAATTCGAGCTTACCAGCCAGATACAGACTGCAATAGAGAAAGTTGGAGATTGGACACAATCTATATGATCATATAGAGGTCTTTATGATATATATTTCACCGAAAGATTTCATATCTTCAGTGCAAATCAATTCAGAATCAGTCCATCAATTAATAGCGATAATAGAAAATATGAAAAACATAAGTGATTTTTTAAACAAATTTAGGATCATATTTGAATAGTAATAAAATAAAAATGTTTAGTAATATGAGCCAACAAGAAATATATCAATAAAAACAGATAGAACAAAGTATATTTTGGAGTAAGTCAAAAATCTCAGAGATATGATATTACCTATAATCAAAAGCATTGAAAAAACAAAGGATATGTGATTCTGAGTTTTCATTTGTTTCAATGAAAGAAGAAATAGAAAAGGAAAAGAAACAAACATAAAGTAAGCCAGATTCTCTATATTTCTCTTAAACAGATCACTCTTGAAATGATAAATTAATGGGAAGATAGAAACAAGAAAAACAAAAATTCTACAAAGCAAAGGATTCTTCATCAATAAATTTTTCATACAAACTTTGTTGGTATTGATAATGTCAAATGGGAATGAAATATAAAGTAAAAGGAGTGATAAAATAACAAAAAAGAAAGATATCACATTGTACTTCTTCCATATTCCATAGAACCTCTCTTTTCTGACATTTTTCCCAACGAAAATGTCGATTTTTTCAACATTATTTTTGTATTGTATTTCAAAATGGTTCCTTCCATTTTGCAGAGTCAAATTCAAATGATATAGATTAATACCCTCTTCGATTTCATTAACAAACTCCATTTCAGTCATAGAATTAATCATAACTTTGTCTTTTTCTCCAAAAATTACGACTCTCAAATCAATTTCTTTTTCAAGTAAAGAAGATTGTGATTCTGGTGCTGGATTCGTAACTATTATCCTTTTAGGATTATTTACATTCATTTCATGATAAATTAATTGATTTTTGTCTAAAGAAATTAATCCAAATTTCTCCTTTTTCTTGAAATCACTCAGGACAACTTCCAAACTATCATTATGGTGTATAAATAAACCATTTTTAGGATGAACATGTCCTACAAGAATTAGATCAATTTTATTATTTTCAATTATTTCTTTGTAATTTCGATTTGAAGAAGATTTCGGCTTTAAAGAGAATGAATCTGCTGGAAAATGTGTTACTAATACTCTATATTTTTCATTTTCTGTGTCTTCGAGAATTTTTTCTAATTTATTGAGTAATTCTGGTTTTGGAAAGACTAAAAAGTTGTATATCATTTTATCTGATGGGAATGGAATTGGATTAAATAAAATGAACAGAATGTCATTGATTTTTATTGTTGATAATTCAAAATTTTCTAAATTTCGTGGTAATGATGAGTAATAGAAGCTGTAATCAAGGAAACAATGATCTTTAGAAAAGTATGAATTCACTGCTGCTTCATCATGATTCCCTGGGATATCAATAATGTTTTCAAATGATTCTTTTGCTTCTTCGATGCATTTTCTGTATAAATGATGGTCTGGTTTATACTGTTGATGGAATTTTATTATATTATTCTTTGTACCCCAGTTGTCAACTAAATCGCCTGAAATAATCAAATTTTTAATTTTATATTTCTGTAATATTTGCAAAAGATTTCTGAAACTGGAAGCATTTTTATCTTTGATGGAATTTATGTGTATATCTGTTACATGAGGAAAAAGCTGAGGTAAACCTGAAGATTTTTGTTGCAAAATATGCTTTTGATAAGGATTAAGGATAACTGTTTGATAATTCTTTGAAAGTAGTAGTTTTGTGAGTATGAAGAATATCAATAAATAGAAGATACCTTCTATTGAAATCAATAACAATTTTGTGTCAGTTGATACATCAATTCAACCAAAATATAATTCAATTATATTGTATTGAACATGTTTAATCAAGGCAAAGTCATTTTCAAAGAATTTATCTAGATTTTCAAAAAATGATGATAAAAATCTGAAAAAACACATCATTATGAAATCTTTTAAGAATAGAAAATAAAGGATGAAGAGTTCTCTTGTTGAATTTAGATCATTGAATTGAGGAACTTCAATTTTGTTGAGATCTGCGCCTTTTATGAAAGTATATAACTTCACATTGAGAATTAACCAAAATCGTTATCATAAAGTTGAACATTTTTGTCATTTTTATGAACGATGGAATTAATGATCAACTAGATCGATCGATCATAGAATTCTTCAAAATCAAAAGAAATAAAAACTCTAGTCTGGATTCAAACTCTTCATTATCAGATGATATCTTCAACATAATACGATTCTCGCTCCAATCAAATTCCCCTAAAGAGTTTCTCTTAAAGTATGGGATTATTATATTCAGTAATGTCATTGCGCTTTGTACAAAAAGAATCGTTGATGTCCTTATTTGTTCAAAAACATCTTTCAATAAGAAACTTAAAACAGAAAAATGGAATTTAATTTCAACAGTACCACAAAATGTTCGAAATAAAATCGAGAATTTAACATCTTCACGTGATATCAAATCTTGGCAAATTAGATCATATCCAGAATCACAAATATTAGCCAGATTTATTAATGATAACTCCCAAAAGTTAGTTCATATCATTGAACCAATACAAAAACAACTTAATCAGTTAATTGATCCAATGCCGATGCTATCTTTTTCAAATCTATCTCTGCAAAAAGATGTATATTCATGGACATATGAAGAGATTGATTAACTCATCTCCATTCATCTTTTTTATTTTATTTTGTTAATTCTTTTACATTGTTTGTTATGAATTATTGAACAAAATGAGAAAAATGAGCTGTTTAGTAAATGATTAATGAAAAATGAACATCAGTTGTACTTATATTTAAAATATGATATTTCTCTAAGTTTGTTTCTTTTGCAAATGTTAGTCAATCATATTTAAGCTCTAAAATAGTCGAGGTGATCTTCTTGAATGAATTTTTATTACTATTGAATGAGGAATCATACTTCATCAAAATTTAAATGGAGACTCAAATTGCTTGCGTATGTATTTAATTTACTTATTGAATGATATTATATCCATATGATATTTTTACCAAAATTTAGTGGTGATTAAAAAATTATTATTTTATTTTTCAGAAATAACAACAAATAAAGGATATTCCTTATCATTTTCATAATAGTGCCCGAAATCCAGGTAAGAAACCTTTGAGAATCCGTTTCTCACAAAAGCCTGAGAGAATTCTTCAACTTTAAAACCATGGTGAGCAACAAATACATCTGGTTTGTGAAAACTTCCATCTTCTGGATATAAATCGCAGACAAAGCACATTCCACCTTCCTTTAAATTTGAGGCTAAAGATTTAATTGTTGAATCGATATCTTTTATATGATGGAAAGCCATCGAGGAAACAATTATATCAAAAGGCTCAAATTTCAGTCCAATGATATCTGATTGGTATATTAGATAGTTTTTATTTGAAATTCCAGATACTGCTTTTCTACATAAATCAATTTTTTCTGGTGATGGATCCATCAATGTGACATGGTTAACTTCGTTCATCAAATTTATTCCATTTCATCCTGTTCCACAGCAATAATCTAAAACCCCGACATTCTTATTAAGCTTATAAAGTGCTCTGACCAAATTCATAAATCTGCTTATAAAATCATCTTTTCCATTTAACCTATAGTTTTTGCCACCAGGAAGCAATTCTTCTTGATTCATATAAAAAATGTCAATGTAAACTTTGATTTGACATTTTTCTATTTTCTGATTAATCTTTTTATCCTCAATTGATGATCAATAAGAACGAATCATTTTATATTGAAGGTAATACTGATATAAGCTGCCGTTGTTCTAATAATAGCACCACTCCAAATAGTCTCTGAATATTTGTTAATCATAAGAAATCAAAAATTCAAATCTCAACTTTTTTTACTCTTCGGTTTGTAATGTCAGATTTAAAGGTTAAAATTAAATTTGTATGTCAAGCGTTCAGAAGTAGGAACTTTACACAATAATATATGGAAATAGATATTAGATTTTATAGATTTTGGAAGAAAATAAGAACGTTCAATAAAATTTGTAAATAATTTGTCGAGCTTTCAGGATTAATTTTTTAAAAATGTGAGCTATATAGAAATCATAATCAAATGGAGTTGCGATTTAAAATACATAGGTTAAATATCTGAATTACGATAGAGACCCTTGATTTTGGGAAAAACAACTGTATTTTTTAATTAGCTGCCATTGAGAAATTACGCCTAATCTTGTTTTCGTTATGACAGGAGTTTTCTTAAATTTTATAAGAAATATTCAAATTATTGGACGTTTAAATCATTTGAATGTACATTTGGAATTCGGGCATTTCGTAAGTCTTTCGAATTGAGAGAGAAATTGAATTCTATGGCATCTCTCAAAACTTTCTTTCCCTCTTTATTTCATGGTGGTTAAAAAATACGGGAAATGATAAATATGGCGGGATTGCTGGAGAGGATATCAACTGGTCAACGCATTCTTATTTTCGAAAATACACAGGAAAGGGCATTACAATAGCTGTTATGGCAGATAGCGCTATGATTAATCATACATCATATGCAAAACATGCTATTAAAGAACAATTCATCAATATTTTTACAGATCAACATATAAATATGACAAATAGAAATAATACAATTGCAACATCTTCACTTGGACTTGCTGCTGGGCGAAGAAACTCTTTATATGATGGAGTTGCTACGAATGCCAATATTGCTTCTTATTATTTCATGGAATATGGAAAAATGGTCGAGCATTTGCAATCAGTAATTTGTTACGAGAGTAAAAAATGGAATATTTCCATCCTTCAATACTCATATCTTGAATATACGAAAAATGTTTGGCCAAAAGATTATGAAATTTACATCGAACCTGAAAGATTGCCAAGAAAAATTGCCGATGAATGCTTGTACAACCCAGATGAAGGTAATTAGCCACATCCAATTGTTGTTCCTACTGGTTATAGAACTGCACTTGACCCATTGTCAACTCCACCTGCAAGTTGGCCATTAATATTCGTTATTACAGGTGTTACCAATAGAGGACTACCACTCTATGCTGCCGGAGAAGGTGCTGGTGTGTTTATGGCTGCTCCATGTGGCGATAATGCTCCAATTGCGGCTGCAGGAACTTCGAAAAAAGGTGTAAATGTTAACTTCACTACTGCAAATGCAAGTGCTGCAATTTTTGCTGGAGGATTAGCTGTATTAATGGAAGCTAATCCAAAACTGAAGCTCTCAGACTTATTCTATGTTACAGCATTTACAGCTGATAAAGTTTATCCTGGAGCAATTAATTGGGAACAAAATGGTGTTGGATTGAATTTTAATCGAAGATTCGGTTTTGGAAGATTGAACTTAGGAAGAGCTGTTGATATTGCATTGAACTGGTCTTCAACAGGAAATTTTTATTTGCATGAAGTACATAAAGTAATAAATAAAGCTTTGCCTGACACTGAATATAATGTAACATTTGATTTCAATGTTAGTGATGCAAAAAGTATTCTAACTGTTGGCCTATTTTTTCATTCAAGAAAATTCGCTTTTGGATCATTAAATCCGCATATTATTAGTCCATCAGGAACAAGATGCGAAATGAAACTTCTAACAGACTCAGATAAAACTACAAAGATAAGAAGTGTTGATTTAAATTCCTATAAGTTTTTGGGTGAAAATCCAAATGGAATTTGGACTGTATCATTTAGAATTGCTGATTACGCAGATCACGGAACTATTGAAGATATTGGACTTAGATTTTATTACACAAAAATTGCTCCAAATTACTCTAAAATCAATAATAGAATTTGCAGTTCTCCGTATAGAATTAACCAATCAAAAGTAACTTTTTTATCTCCGAATATTACTTTAGAGGCAGCAAAATCTGCAACTGTTCCTCTTCAAATAGATAAATGTGTCAGGAATTCATATAAAAGTATTTGGTTATCAACTCCTGATGGGGAATTGAATTTGCTTTTCCTGATTTTTCACGAATCTTTATCCGTTTGCCCTGAAACTGATAATTTAACAATTATAGATGGCATATCGGAAATCAGTTCGTATCAATACGCGAATTGTACAAATATTAAAGCAATTACATTCCCGAATACATTAAAGCAAATAGGTATTGGAGCATTTATGAACTGTTCTAACTTATTAAGCCTTGAATTTCCTTCAATTTTATCCAAAATCAACGAAAAATCATTTTCAGAATGCGTTAACTTACAAACCATAACATTTCATTCCGACAATACAGTTATCTATTCACGAGCATTCCAAAATTGTATCAATCTTAAAGAAATTCAACTTCCAAATTCGTTGGTTAATATAGATTCTTATGTTTTTTATAACTGTACAAATATTGGAACCATAACACTTCCTGATACAGTATCAACTATTGGCGATTATTCTTTTTATAATTGTCAAAAATTAAATTTTATTTCTTTCCCATCTGAACTTATTTTTATTGGAGAACATGCATTTGATTCATGTTATAATATTAAAACTTTTGTATTTCCTCCCATTTTTATGGGAATTTCTAATTCTGCATTTATTTCCTGTATCGGACTTGAAAAAGTAGAATTTTTATGTGACAACTGTGTTATTAACCAAAATGCATTTGAATATTGTTACAATCTTTCGGAAATCAAACTTCCAAATCAATTATATGAAATTTCTGAAAATATGTTTGCATTTTGTCACTCATTGAAGTCAATTACTCTTCCAAATGAAATAAAGGAAATCAAAAAATCAGCATTTTACTTTTGTTACAAATTAGAAGAAATTAATTTTCCAAAACATTTAAATAAAATTGGTCAAGAAGCATTTCGAAACTGTTTCGCATTGATTAACATAATAATTCCAGAAAATGCTAAAGAAATTGAAGAAAAAGCATTTCAAAACTGCAAAAATATTTAAAAAGTTTCAATTTTGAGTACTGAAAAAACTTTTGTTTTAGGAAGGTTTTGTTGCAATTCTTTATCATCATTAGAAGAAATTATTCTTCCAAATAATCTAAAAACAATTCCTGAATATTGTTTTGCACAATGTATAAAATTACGAAGAATAAATTTGCCAAACACAATTTCACAAATTTGTGAGAGTTCATTTTCAGAATGTACAAGTCTAGAACGAATAGATATACCAGAATCAGTAACTATTATTCCAGAATATTGTTTCCGTGATTGTTCAAAACTAACAGAAGTTAATTTTACTTCAAATATATTATTAAAAATCGAAAAATCTTCTTTCCAAAATTGTATTGAATTGAAGACAATTTCATTTCCAAGTTCATTGACAGCTATTAGTGAAAACTCTTTTTATAATTGTCAAAGCTTATCCGACATTATTTTACCTCAAAATCTTGAAGAGATGAAAGAAAAATGTTTTTATGGATGTCAATAAAGGTCGTCTCACGAAAATACGTTATTTTCCCGATGCCTTGGAAGCAGCTTTGCAGGTTACCCGTAAGGTAACCAGTAGAAGTTTCTGAGCAAGGATGAAGAAGATTAAAGAGCCTTTTTATTGCAAACGCTATATTTGTAAGTGTCTTTGTAGAACTTCTCATAAATTCAAAGATTTCCAAAAACGAATTTTTCGATTTTGATATAATAAATGATATTTAAAACAAATTATAGATGTGTTTGCAATTAAAAAAATCCGAGTTAACTACAATATCTTCAATTTTTGTCGTTCACTTTTTCATGTCATACTGATAGCAAGAATACTCACCCAATTTGGTTACACTTCATGATAGTTTGAAGTAAAAAAATGCCACAGTTTTTTTTATTTGATATCGTTATCTAAATTTTGTACAGAAATGAAATAAATTATAATATGAAACGTGTGTTATTATGCTTGTTGGGAAACAATCCAATACTTATGTCTGAATGAAATGATTATTTCTACGAGATTTTTCATATTCAGCTAATAATGCTATCAAAATCAAATAACAATAAAAAGTTATTTTGTACATAATGTAACTTAATCTTTAATACTATATAGAACTTCGAAATACGACTAAAAGGTGCGAGTTACGCGATTAAATACCTTTTTTTCGATCGAAACTTGAAAGTGAGGATAACTCAATGGGTAGGGGTATGGGTTCGACTTTTTCTATTGGGCAACTATTTTTTTCTTTTCATTGTTTCAGCATTTTTTTATGCGATTATGCATAATTATTTGATTTCCTATATATTCAATAATAAATTTGTTCCGAACTCTTAACAAATAAATAAATTTTTAGAATATTTAAATTTATAGCTCCCTACATTAATATAAAGTGTTCGAATAGTTCATATATAGTTTCTTTAAAATAATTTGTTTCATTTTAAATTGGTTTGGCACAATGCTTGACATAACATGCACAAAGCTATGCCATTTTAAAATATGTATATCAATCAAGCCGATTAAGTCCATCCTAAACGAAAATCATCGATACTCATGAATTTATGATAGTCGTTCTTGATATAATTGCGCGTTTTAAAAAATGCTTACTTTTGAACACAGAACTTATCTATCCATATTTATCAATGAAAGTTTATAAGATGCATTAATGACAAAACCTTACTTTATCAATTATAATCTTATCGTAAATTTCAAACTACAATACTGTGGGGCAAATATTAAATAACCACTATGTTGCGGATTTTATGTAAGTCTGCAAACTGTAAAATGTAATTAAACACAAATAAAAAAAAAATGTAAATTTTAATCGAGAAATTTAGCAATCTTGAAAGCCTTGATCGGCATCTTTTACAAGATGTCAGTAATGCATATTCAATAACTATGAAAATCTAGCCAAGCATGGATTTTTTTCGAAAAAAAATTGTATTAAATTTCATTTTTCATTCTTTATACAAGTTTTAACCTTTGGTGCAATTATATCCTATCGCAAATGCATTATTGACGTTATTACTTGGATACTTCTTCATAACGCTAAATCTTCAAATTAGTTATGTGTTTGTTACTAATAGAAGTTGGAAAGGTATTAAAAAAGGAAATGTTAATAAATATACATGTTTAATTAAAAAACAAACAAGAATAAATTAAATAATTTTATTTCTTAGGAAAGTCTAAGTTTTGTAATAGATAAATTGCTTTTTGTGTCTCTTCTTCATCAATTTCTGGATGTTGATTCTCAGGTGGCGGACTAATTAAAACATCATGGGCAATATCAAACCATTGTTTTAGTTCGTTGGCAGAAGGAAAATGATCTTCTTGTATTGGCGTTATTAATGATTGAAAATCATCAGTTGATTCTGCATTTTGGGAATTTTCCAAATTTTCATTTGGAAAATTTGAATTTTGAGATATTGTTTAAGCACTCAGATCTCATTTTTAAAATATCTGCACCAAATTCTTACATCTGATAATTTTCATGTGTAACCAATGTTTCCCAATCCATTTGCCATACCCTACTAATCGCAAATTCATTCCCTTTAATTTTGTATTAAATTTAAATTCCAATCTTAATTTCTACATTATTTATGCTAACCCTTTAAATTTTGTTCTTATTTATTCACCCTCAGATACAAATTTATTTAGAATGTATTCCTCTGAGGTCTATATTTGTATTCGAAAATAAAATCTTTAAAACTCTCTAAGTTATCATTTTCTCTTCAGATATCTAATATTTTTCTAATGACATAACTACTTTGGACGCATATCCAAATTCCAAAAAAAATATGGAAAAAATAAAAATGAAATTGAAAATTACAATTTTTGATATGTAAAAAAAGATTTTGAAAAAAATTGGGAAAAAGAGTATCTAATTAGAGATGCGAGTTTCCGAATTTTTTTAGCCCTGGGATGTCATAACCGCTGCGGTTTTGTAAAATTTGGGATAAATTTTGACAATCCATTTTTTGTGGGATGTACGTTTATATCAATTTGCTCGGCGTTTGCCGAGCTATTGTACAATCCTACTCGAATTCATTACGCAGCCCTGGTCACTCAAAGGCCAGGGCATACAATTACAAAATAGTAGAGTGAGACTCTTCTAATTTCTTCCAATCACAAGGAAGATCTTAGAAGAGCCTCACTCTGCTCGAACACATTACGCAGCCCTGGTCACTCAAAGGCCAGGGCATACAATTACAAAATAGTAGAGTGAGACTCTTCTAATTTCTTCCAATCACAAGGAAGATCTTAGAAGAGCCTCACTCTGCTCGAACACATTACGCAGCCCTGGTCACTCAAAGGCAGGGCATACAATTACAAAATAGTAGAGTGAGACTCTTCTAATTTCTTCCAATCACAAGGAAGATCTTAGAAGAGCCTCACTCTGCTCGAACACATTACGCAGCTCCTGCTCAACAATGAGCAGGTCTTACCACTTTGAGAGGCTTTCGCTCGAGTTCTGATGCAGATCCCAACGCGAGCGAGAGTCTCTCAAGCAAGCTTCTAATTCGTAGCTAGAGTTTCACTCTTATGAACTGGCAGCCAATTTGAGAGACTTTCGCTCGAGATCTAATGAAAAATCAGAACTCGGCCAAAAATTGCCCAAACAGGCTTGTAATTCGTAGCTATAGTATTGATCGTATGGATGTGTTGCCAATATGAGAGACTTTCGCTCGATGTCTGATATTGCATCAGACATCGAGCGAAAGTCACTCAAAACAGCTTAGACATGTCTATTTTGACGGCATTAAATGATTTCATAGGAAATGTCTCAGTTGTTAATTAAGTTCACGTGAGCTTTTATGAATGAAAATAAGTAAAAAAAAAGAATTTTCTCAAAAAAAATTGTGTACGCATTGAAATTTTTATCTATAAATTTAGATATGTCATCAATAATATAATATAATTTTAAATTCGTGGAGTACACTTGGGATAATTGAATATGGGCTACCCCATCCCAACCTCTCAAACTTCCTCTGAATTTGGACAAGGTATCCCAATCCCAAAGACCTATCTGAATAAAATGAAATAATATATTATATATATTATTTATTTGCTATAATGAGCATAAATCGCTAAAATTATGAAGAAATTAAAAATTAAAAATTAAAATTAGAAAAAAATGTTGATTTAATGAGAGAATATTGTATAAAAATAGAATTATTAGCTAAAATATGTATTAATTTTATGATATTTCAATCACATTAACGAAAATCGCCCATTTTTAATTCAAATGGGCGGGAAAAAAAATAAAATTCCAAAAAAAATTGAATTGGGGAAACGATAGGGGACGGGATATGAGAAACCCCATATGTTTGGGAATTTTTCGCATCACTAATCTAATAAAATTGTTTGAGATCTATGTAGACATAGTTTTTACATTAAAAAATCAATAATATTGAAATTGATCTGAATATATCTTTTTTTTTAAAGTTTGAATGCATTAATCTCAAAGCATTTGATAAAATACTGGTTTTATTTCAAAATTCTAAATAATTTGTAATTAGATCTTTATGATGTAATTTAATTTTAAACAAGTACAGATAAAGAGAATCATAATAAAGGTGATCTATATTGCTTAAGTAAAATTGAGTATAATAGATCGATCTTAGCAACAAGATCTGAGGAAGTAGATTTGAGAGTCGAGAGTTTGGATCTTAGCAACAAGATCTGAGGAAGTAGATTTGAGAGTCGAGAGTTTGGATCTTAGCAACAAGATCTGAGGAAGTAGATTTGAGAGTCGAGAGTTTGGATCTTAGCAACTAAATCTGAGAGTTTTATCATTTCCGGCATATTGGGCCGAAAAGGAGTGATCCGCGTAAGTATGAAAAAAAGTGAATTTTGTTGTATGGTGTTTTTTATTATATCCGTTTCTCTCACAATTTTCAATAAATATTATTGTTCAAACGGAAATATAAATAAACAATTCAAAAATAAAAATGTAAATGTAAATTGAAAATGTATTATAAACATGCTAAAAAGCGTATATTTTAAACTTAAAGGAAAAATGAAATTCGTAAAAATGAGCATGATGTTTGATAAGGGAGTTTTAATTTTTTTTTCAAAAAAATTAAGGAACTTAAATTGAGATTATCAGGCTATGTAGTGGGTATTTTTACGATCTGACTGCAGAAATCGAATCAGCGAGACCCGAAGATTCATATTCCGCCGGAAAAATAGGGTTTCGAGGCGTAGATAGGGATAAAAAGATGCTTTAAGAAGATCTCAGTAGAAATATGGTTTAGAAGAGGATATAGGTCAGGATATAAGATTATGAAAATTGAAGAAGTGAATTATCAAGATGTATTTATGAGTAAACTATATTGTTTTAAGCTATCTAAATCTGTTTTGATATAAATTAAAGCGTATACTTATGCAAAATGCGAAATTTAAATTAATACTTTTTTTTGCTATTTGGACACAAAGCTAACAATCCATCCAATAAATGACGTATACCTAGCGAGATGAAGCATTTTAACATGAAAGACAAGAAAATCTGATTACTTGTGTTGAAAGTTTCTGTATTTCGTCTTCTTCCAAACACAGCGTTCAGATGCAGAAGAAAATGCAGCCGTAATGACGCAAAAAGACACTAAAATAAATTGGAGAATTTCTGAAAGTTTTTACTGAGCTTTGTTATTGAACCCGAATTTGTTGCTGAGTGACAGGATATTAAATCTACGACATTCATGAGTAATTGTTATCAATTTGTCAATAAATTATGTTGAAGATGGTTTAAATGTCTTCGAAGGCATGAAATTAGATCCTAAATCTGTTTGAGTTAATAAAAGAGAACAAATGTTGAAAGAGTTGTCATATTGCCTACAAAATTTTCAAACATTTGCATTGAGACAATGTGAAAAAATGATGTCCAAAATACCTTTACTAAAATATTTTTAATTTGAATCATAACAAGGAAAAACAATAATGGCAGAATAAGAAAAAAAAACAAAGATGTTATGATTTGAACAGTTGCCTTTTAGTTCAAAAAGAGCATAGTGTTCCCAACCACTACACTACCTTCCTTTCTGATAAAAAGCTGAATAATTAGTATTTAATGAATTCTCCAACTTGGGATTTGCGGCTTTTCCAAAATCTGTTATGATAGTTCTATATAGCAATTGATATATAATATTTTTTATAATCAAATAATTTTTTAGTCCAGATAAATTTTTTAAAATTTCAAAGTCTTTCCATTCTACTAACGCTCTTCACATCCATATTCTTTACCATATATGTAATATAACGCCTTATTTTAATTCCCATGTTTACGATTTATTTGTCGAAAAACTGTCTTGCCCATTAACATCTCGCGAAAATTTTCGACTTTTTGAATAGCCGTTTTCAAGATCTCAAAAACTGTGGGATATTTTTTACAAAGCTAATCGACATTTATTTACCACATATATGTACTATACAATGCACCTGGTTTCATCGAATTTTTACCGTCAGTTTTCTCGTGAGACTACCTTTATGTAAATCTTTGACAAAAATAAATTTGCCATCAAGTCTGAAAAATTTGTCAAATTATTGTTTCAGTAATTGTCTTGAACTCAAAGAAATCATAATAGATTCTAATTGTTCATTGAACGAAAATGTTTTTGAAAATGATTTGAAAATAGAAAATCTGATTTTTAATTGTTTGAATCAATATTTTCTCAAATTAGAGAATCTTAGAAATTTAGTTAAATCAATCACATTTAATTCATTTGTTACAGAATATCCATCCCTTTCTGTTTTCGAGAGTTTAGAGAACATCCATATCATCACAAAAGAAAACAATTCTATGATTAATGAATATTTCACATCATCAAAAGAAATCAAAATATTTATTGAAGGTAACATCAATAATATTTCCGACTCAGCATTTTCAAACAGTATTGTCAATACATTTGTTTATTGTGGTTATCATCTTGTTTCCGGTAAATTCCTTTATTATTCTCAAGGTCATCACAATGTCAGTGCCTATCCATTTTATCCATCTAAACAACTTGGTGGTGTCAAAGTTAATCTTACAGCCGAATGTCCTAATTTACCTATACATGAAAAGAAACACCTTTCAAAACTTGTTATTAGCTTGATTTCTATTGGAAGCATTTCACTGGTTATTTGTGTAGTTTTTATTATTTTTAGAATCCAATCAATTAAAAAAGCTCAGAAGATAATCAATGACAAAAATGAATTTCGTAAAACTATTCTTAATGACTTCGGATAAATTCATTTACTTTGTTTGTTGTTCTTTTTAAAATCTGTTTGTTTTGTATTAATTACATCTATATTTTTCCATTTATCATTTTTAAGTTCATAAAATATAGTAATTTCAAAGTCTTGTGTCCATTTTCTCAGAAGAATTGATAGCAATTGATAATTATACCCATTTTCCTACTTAAAGTCTCCCTATCGTTATTCTCATTCAAAATTGAATGAATCTCTATCAAAAGTTTGAATAATATAATTAGATAAATCTATATATTTTTCCTTTTTAATTTCATGAACTTAGGATCTATTGTATTAAATTTATCTTGAAATCTCATAAAAATAAGAAGAAAATAGGAGAAACCGAAATTGCTTTTCAATTTTTTTAAAAGAGGTTTTATTCAATATTGAGGGGAAGAATACAATATGGAGACTTTCCTTAGGAAAATGGGTATAATTATCAATATCTAGATGTGACCACATTGCATGTTGTACTTTAGATCAGAAATAAATTGTATATTTCCTAATTATTATGACAAAAGTTCATTGCATATTATTTTGAATAAAACGATAGATAAAAATTGAATACTGGCACTTTTTTCGGATAATTTATGTTATTCCTTCTTTATAAGTATATTTAATCTGTTTGTCCTGAAACAGATAATTTAATCATTGCAGACGGAACAACAATTATTGAAGCAAATGAATATTCAGATTGCAACAATATTAAAACCGTTTTCTTTCCAGAATCTTTATATAGTATTGGTGATTTTGCATTTCATAAGTGCACAAGTTTAGAAATTCTTGAATTTCCATCTAACTTTACAAATCTTGGTAAAAACTCGTTTTCAGATTGCATAAATTTAAGGGAATATCCCATTTTTTGCAAAGAAAAAGTGAGAATCCCAAATTTTGCATACCAAAAATGGTATTGTATGGAAAAGTCATTCAATATTGGTTTTTTAGGTCTAATATTATACAGATATGTCCGCTACTAGATACCGGATTATCCTATATAATCAAATATAGTGGTTTCAAAAAACTAAAGGTTGCATCTTTTAATGCTCTCCTAATTATGTGTTTTTTACTAATATCACAGTGTGCGCATATTGTTATGATATGTAAAAATGATTCTATGAGTGTTATATATGAATTTAATGAGTTTTTGTTTAGGCATTAGATTATATGAGACCAACAAAATGTGTTTGAGCTATTTATATATATGTATGTGTGAGTCCTATATAAGTATAGTTAATATGTGTATGTGTTTATAAATAAAGAAGTATATTCACAATTTATGATATTCAATTTTTTCAAAATATCTTAAAATTAACATATATATAATATGCTTGGTGTGGTAATATCAATATCGAAATATTAAAGCTCAAATCTCAAAAAGTGCTCATAAATTGATTCTGATTTGACTCAAAACTCTGTAATATTAATCGTATTAATATTGTTTATTGTGGTAGTTATATATGTGGTATTAAAATGTATCTTATCGTTAAAGATTATTTGTGCTAGATTTATCGTTTGAATTTTTGTGTAATTATTAATATGGCATATCTTATATTGTGAAGATATGCCATATTAATACACAAAAAGTCTATTTGCTTTTGGTTTTGAATGGGACTATCAAAACGATTCGACAACCGCATTCAAAAACAAAAGCAAATAGGCTTTTGTTTGTATTGTATTGTAAATTTTCGATCTACCTCGTTTGAAACTTGCTTTTTCAGTTGGCATCAAAATTCTTTGACACCAACTGAAAAAGCAAGCTTCAAACAAGGTAAATATCGAATGGCAGCCATATATTTACATGTAGCTGCCATTATTTTGTAAATATATCGTATTTCTGAGATTTTGAATTTTGGTCGCCTATCCAATAAAGATAGGCGACCGCTGTAATATAATTATATTTTTACAGCCCTATTTGAGTTTGTTCATAAACTCAAATAGGGCCGGAAGTGGGTATATAAGGAGAATTGAGAAACCCACTCCATATATATAATTTACAAAAAGTGTCAATAAAAAGTAATAATCGTTGTTTCACTAAAAATGATATTAAATATATACCTATATACTATATATAAGATTTTTAAAATTTTTAATGAAAATTGAAGACTCAAAAAAATTGATGCAATATGAAATCAGAAGTTGACAACATTCAATGTTACTGCGCTATAATTTGAATTCAATACGTACATAACATTACTAAATGTATTTTAAGATAATACAAAAAATTAAGCTTGCAAAAAGATATCGAAATGTAATTTTCATTAGATTCAAAGTTCTGAATAGATTTTGATTTTAACTATTGATGAGTTTGTCAAACCTCTATAATAATAGAATGTAGAACTAATTAAATATAATTAATAAAAAAATACAAATTTAAGTGATATTATAAGAGATATATGTGATGTTACCAATATGATATGATATTGGAGAACTGATAGAATTGTGATGTGAGACTAAATATGATTTTATTATGAATAGGAGAATAATATTAGAAGAATTTCTTGAATTTAATGTATCTGAATATGTAATTGGGCATATATTCTATATATATATTGGTAGGTTAACTAGAAATAAGAAGATGAAAGATTGTTAATGAATAATATGAGATTAAGCGAAAATATATTGTTCTAATAGATGAGTGTTGAGATCCAATATATATGAAGAGGGATATGTGAGAGGAAATATGTATATTTAATAAAATAAGCGATGAGAGAAAAAATAACAAAGATTTATATGAAATTTTGAGTATTGAAAAAGCTCGATTAGTGATTTTATGTCTGTTAAAGGAATAGATATTCTAGGAGAAAGATAAATTGAATTAAAGAAGAATAAAAAAAGTTGATTAAGATTGATAAAAATATTGAATTGTATGACAATGGAAAGAAGGAATAAATTGGTGTTGGTATGACGGTATCATTTCGGGAGACATTGCCTCTGCATGTCTCCCAGAATGAGAACAATCTTCTGCAATCAGAATGTGATTGCAAAACTTTGACCGACAAGAGTATTGTGCACTCCTGTCGGTCGCAGTGTCTCATTCTGGGAGACATTGCCTCTGCATGTCTCCCAGAATGGAACAATGTTCCGCATTGATAACTTGAACGCGGAAGTTTGACCGACAAGAGTGTATTGTGCACTCCTGTCGGTCGCAGTGTCTCATTCTGGGAGACATTGCCTCTGCATGTCTCCCAGAATGGAACAATGTTCCGCATTGATAACTTGAACGCGGAAGTTTGACCGACAAGAGTGTATTGTGCACTCCTGTCGGTCGCAGTGTCTCATTCTGGGAGACATTGCCTCTGCATGTCTCCCAGAATGGAACAATGTTCCGCATTGATAACTTGAACGCGGAAGTTTGACCGACAAGAGTGTATTGTGCACTCCTGTCGGTCGCAGTGTCTCATTCTGGGAGACATTGCCTCTGCATGTCTCCCAGAATGGAACAATGTTCCGCATTGATAACTTGAACGCGGAAGTTTGACCGACAAGAGTGTATTGTGCACTCCTGTCGGTCGCAGTGTCTCATTCTGGGAGACATTGCATGTCTCCCAGAATGGAACAATGTTCCGCATTGATAACTTGAACGCGGAAGTTTGACCGACAAGAGTGTATTGTGCACTCCTGTCGGTCGCAGTGTCTCATTCTGGGAGACATTGCCTCTGCATGTCTCCCAGAATGGAACAATGTTCCGCATTGATAACTTGAACGCGGAAGTTTGACCGACAAGAGTGTATTGTGCACTCCTGTCGGTCGCAGTGTCTCATTCTGGGAGACATTGCCTCTGCATGTCTCCCAGAATGGAACAATGTTCCGCATTGATAACTTGAACGCGGAAGTTTGACCGACAAGAGTGTATTGTGCACTCCTGTCGGTCGCAGTGTCTCATTCTGGGAGACATTGCCTCTGCATGTCTCCCAGAATGGAACAATGTTCCGCATTGATAACTTGAACGCGGAAGTTTGACCGACAAGAGTGTATTGTGCACTCCTGTCGGTCGCAGTGTCTCATTCTGGGAGACATTGCCTCTGCATGTCTCCCAGAATGGAACAATGTTCCGCATTGATAACTTGAACGCGGAAGTTTGACCGACAAGAGTGTATTGTGCACTCCTGTCGGTCGCAGTGTCTCATTCTGGGAGACATTGCCTCTGCATGTCTCCCAGAATGGAACAATGTTCCGCATTGATAACTTGAACGCGGAAGTTTGACCGACAAGAGTGTATTGTGCACTCCTGTCGGTCGCAGTGTCTCATTCTGGGAGACATTGCCTCTGCATGTCTCCCAGAATGGAACAATGTTCCGCATTATAACTTGAACGCGGAAGTTTGACCGACAAGAGTGTATTGTGCACTCCTGTCGGTCGCAGTGTCTCATTCTGGGAGACATTTCCTCTGCATGTCTCCCAGAATGGAACAATGTTCCGCATTGATAACTTGAACGCGGAAGTTTGACCGACAAGAGTGTATTGTGCACTCCTGTCGTCGGTCGCAGTGTCTCATTCTGGGAGACATTGCCTCTGCATGTCTCCCAGAATGGAACAATGTTCCGCATTCATAACTTGAACGCGGAAGTTTGACCGACAAGAGTGTATTGTGCACTCCTGTCGGTCGCAGTGTCTCATTCTGGGAGACATTGCCTCTGCATGTCTCCCAGAATGGAACAATGTTCCGCATTCATAACTTGAACGCGGAAGTTTGACCGACAAGAGTGTATTGTGCACTCCTGTCGGTCGCAGTGTCTCATTCTGGGAGACATTGCCTCTGCATGTCTCCCAGAATGGAACAATGTTCCGCATTGATAACTTGAACGCGGAAGTTTGACCGACAAGAGTGTATTGTGCACTCCTGTCGGTCGCAGTGTCTCATTCTGGGAGACATTGCCTCTGCATGTCTCCCAGAATGGAACAATGTTCCGCATTGATAACTTGAACGCGGAAGTTTGACCGACAAGAGTGTATTGTGCACTCCTGTCGGTCGCAGTGTCTCATTCTGGGAGACATTGCCTCTGCATGTCTCCCAGAATGGAACAATGTTCCGCATTCATAACTTGAACGCGGAAGTTTGACCGACAAGAGTGTATTGTGCACTCCTGTCGGTCGCAGTGTCTCATTCTGGGAGACATTGCCTCTGCATGTCTCCCAGAATGGAACAATGTTCCGCATTCATAACTTGAACGCGGAAGTTTGACCGACAAGAGTGTATTGTGCACTCCTGTCGGTCGCAGTGTCTCATTCTGGGAGACATTGCCTCTGCATGTCTCCCAGAATGGAACAATGTTCCGCATTGATAACTTGAACGCGGAAGTTTGACCGACAAGAGTGTATTGTGCACTCCTGTCGGTCGCAGTGTCTCATTCTGGGAGACATTGCCTCTGCATGTCTCCCAGAATGGAACAATGTTCCGCATTCATAACTTGAACGCGGAAGTTTGACCGACAAGAGTGTATTGTGCACTCCTGTCGGTCGCAGTGTCTCATTCTGGGAGACATTGCCTCTGCATGTCTCCCAGAATGGAACAATGTTCCGCATTCATAACTTGAACGCGGAAGTTTGACCGACAAGAGTGTATTGTGCACTCCTGTCGGTCGCAGTGTCTCATTCTGGGAGACATTGCCTCTGCATGTCTCCCAGAATGGAACAATGTTCCGCATTGATAACTTGAACGCGGAAGTTTGACCGACAAGAGTGTATTGTGCACTCCTGTCGGTCGCAGTGTCTCATTCTGGGAGACATTGCCTCTGCATGTCTCCCAGAATGGAACAATGTTCCGCATTCATAACTTGAACGCGGAAGTTTGACCGACAAGAGTGTATTGTGCACTCCTGTCGGTCGCAGTGTCTCATTCTGGGAGACATTGCCTCTGCATGTCTCCCAGAATGGAACAATGTTCCGCATTCATAACTTGAACGCGGAAGTTTGACCGACAAGAGTGTATTGTGCACTCCTGTCGGTCGCAGTGTCTCATTCTGGGAGACATTGCCTCTGCATGTCTCCCAGAATGGAACAATGTTCCGCATTGATAACTTGAACGCGGAAGTTTGACCGACAAGAGTGTATTGTGCACTCCTGTCGGTCGCAGTGTCTCATTCTGGGAGACATTGCCTCTGCATGTCTCCCAGAATGGAACAATGTTCCGCATTGATAACTTGAACGCGGAAGTTTGACCGACAAGAGTGTATTGTGCACTCCTGTCGGTCGCAGTGTCTCATTCTGGGAGACATTGCCTCTGCATGTCTCCCAGAATGGAACAATGTTCCGCATTGATAACTTGAACGCGGAAGTTTGACCGACAAGAGTGTATTGTGCACTCCTGTCGGTCGCAGTGTCTCATTCTGGGAGACATTGCCTCTGCATGTCTCCCAGAATGGAACAATGTTCCGCATTGATAACTTGAACGCGGAAGTTTGACCGACAAGAGTGTATTGTGCACTCCTGTCGGTCGCAGTGTCTCATTCTGGGAGACATTGCCTCTGCATGTCTCCCAGAATGGAACAATGTTCCGCATTCATAACTTGAACGCGGAAGTTTGACCGACAAGAGTGTATTGTGCACTCCTGTCGGTCGCAGTGTCTCATTCTGGGAGACATTGCCTCTGCATGTCTCCCAGAATGGAACAATGTTCCGCATTGATAACTTGAACGCGGAAGTTTGACCGACAAGAGTGTATTGTGCACTCCTGTCGGTCGCAGTGTCTCATTCTGGGAGACATTGCCTCTGCATGTCTCCCAGAATGGAACAATGTTCCGCATTCATAACTTGAACGCGGAAGTTTGACCGACAAGAGTGTATTGTGCACTCCTGTCGGTCGCAGTGTCTCATTCTGGGAGACATTGCCTCTGCATGTCTCCCAGAATGGAACAATGTTCCGCATTGATAACTTGAACGCGGAAGTTTGACCGACAAGAGTGTATTGTGCACTCCTGTCGGTCGCAGTGTCTCATTCTGGGAGACATTGCCTCTGCATGTCTCCCAGAATGGAACAATGTTCCGCATTGATAACTTGAACGCGGAAGTTTGACCGACAAGAGTGTATTGTGCACTCCTGTCGGTCGCAGTGTCTCATTCTGGGAGACATTGCCTCTGCATGTCTCCCAGAATGGAACAATGTTCCGCATTCATAACTTGAACGCGGAAGTTTGACCGACAAGAGTGTATTGTGCACTCCTGTCGGTCGCAGTGTCTCATTCTGGGAGACATTGCCTCTGCATGTCTCCCAGAATGGAACAATGTTCCGCATTGATAACTTGAACGCGGAAGTTTGACCGACAAGAGTGTATTGTGCACTCCTGTCGGTCGCAGTGTCTCATTCTGGGAGACATTGCCTCTGCATGTCTCCCAGAATGGAACAATGTTCCGCATTCATAACTTGAACGCGGAAGTTTGACCGACAAGAGTGCATTATCCAATCTTTTTTGTCATATACCTCAACCCACAAAGACAAAACCTTACATAAAATAGGTAAACTTTGGTTTTCACTTAATAATGTTTATTTTTAATTTTTTGTTCTTTATATAACTTTTTCTTCTACTAAACTATTTTACAGACTCTACTGAGCTATCCTCACATATATACCTGTGACAATAACACATATATACTCCCTTCATATTCTGATCTCATGACATATTACAGCACAAACTATAATTATACAACATACCTCATAAAGTCTGATTTTACCCCTATCTAAGCGTTCAAAACCTATTTTCCCCGCGTAATCTGATTCTTCTGGCTCTGCTGATTCGATTTCTGCTGTCAGATCGTGAAAATATGCATCACACAATGAGATAAACACAAAATACACAACTTAATATTTTCCTTAAAATTGTCAATTCCTCGATCTTGACATATTTATTATTTCCTCCGTTTTCCCTCACAAATATATTTAATTTTCTGAATAAGACGTATAATAAAATGAATATCTTAAAAACTAAAATACAAAATTAATGTTGGGTAATGACTAGATATAGTATGCACTTTTGAATTCATACATTTTTTGAAAAAATTGTATTTTCAAAAAAAGATGTTGTTTCAGTATGAACTTGAAGAGAAATTTTAAGGAAAATAGGTTTTGAACGCTTATAGGGGTAAAATCAGACTTTATGAGGTATGTTGTATAATTATAGTTTGTGCTGTAATATGTCATGAGATCAGAATATGAAGGGAGTATATATGTGTTATTGTCACAGGTATATATGTGAGATAGCTCAGTAGAGTCTGTAAAATAGTTTAGTAGAAGAAAAAGTTATATAAAGAACAAAAAATTAAAAATAAACATTATTAAGTGAAAACCAAAGTTTACCTATTTTATGTAAGGTTTTGTCTTTGTGGGTTGAGGTATATGACAAAAAAGATTGGATAATGCACTCTTGTCGGTCAAACTTCCGCGTTCAAGTTATCAATGCGGAACATTGTTCCATTCTGGGAGACATGCAGAGGAAATGTCTCCCAGAATGAGACACTGCGACCGACAGGAGTGCACAATACACTTGTCGGTCAAACTTCCGCGTTCAAGTTATCAATGCGGAACATTGTTCCATTCTGGGAGACATGCAGAGGAAATGTCTCCCAGAATGAGACACTGCGACCGACAGGAGTGCACAATACACTCTTGTCGGTCAAACTTCCGCGTTCAAGTTATCAATGCGGAACATTGTTCCATTCTGGGAGACATGCAGAGGCAATGTCTCCCAGAATGAGACA